TGGGTACTCCAGTTTCCTACCACACTCCACAGACATGCTAGTAGCTTAATTGGCTCCTGTCTAAATTTGGCCTTTGGATGTTTATGTATGAATTTGAGTTAGGGACCTTAGATTGTAAGCTCCCTGAGGACAGAGACTGATGTGAATGTACAATATATATGTAAAGTGCTGCGTAAATTGATAGAGCTATATAAGTACCTGTAATAAATAACTAAATAAATAAATAGAAAGACTGAAAAAAAAGTGTAGCTTTTGCTTATTGTCTCCAACTGAATAATAATATTTTTTAATGCAGGGTAGATAATAAAATATTAAAATATTATTATTATTATACAGTATTTATAAAGCGCCAATAGTTCGCTCAGCGCTGTACATTACAAAGGGGGACAGAACATGTGACAGAACATTACCAATACAATGCAAAACATGAGGGGATCGAGGGCCCTGCTCTTTCGAGCTTACAATCTAGGAGGGAGGGGATGGTGGCACAGGAGGAGAGAGCTGTGGGGGATGGAGTCTTAAGAAGAGTGGAGGAGGTCGGCAAGTTAGCAGGGGGTGGGGTAGACTTCCCTGAAGAGATGGGTTTTCAGGGTGCGCCTAAAGGAGAGGAGAGTAGGTGATAATCTGATGGGTTGGGGAAGGGAGTTCCAGAGGATGGGTGACACCCTGAAGAAATCCTGGAGGCAGGCATGGGAGGAGGAGACCAGGCAACTAGAGAGAAGGAGGTCTTGTGAGGAGCGGAGTGTGCATGCTGGGCGGTACTTGGATATTAGGTCAGTGATGTAGTTCGGGGCAGTATGGTGGACAGCTTTGTACGTCAGTGTTAGGATTTTGAATTTGATCTGTTGCACAATCGGAAGCCAGTGGAGGGATTGGCAGAGGGGGGTGGCAGAAACGGAGCGGTTGGAAAGGTGAATGAGTCTGGCAGCCGCATTCAGGATGGACTGAAGCGGGGATAGCCAGCGGCGAGGCAGGCCAGTGAGGAGGGAGTTGCAGTAGTCGAGTCGTGATATGATGAGGGAGTGGATGAGCTGTTTAGTGTTTTCTGGGGTTAGGAACGTGCGTATTTTGGCGATGTTGCGGAGGTGGAGTCTAAAATAATTGTTATTCCCAATGCTCCCACTGCCCTTTACTCATGTTTAAAAAAGTTTTAAAGACACATACAGTATACCTAAGCTGCTTATCCAAGGTGAGATTTTGCTTTGTTCACACAAACAACTTTATCAGTAACCATATGAAGGTCATCCTATTGAATTTGACTAAATACCATTAAACATTAAAACAGTTACACATTTTTGGTAAAGGCTGTCATACTCATGAGTCAAAATTATTATGTGACTGGTTATCTCGAGTATAATGCTTGCCATGGATACGTCATAGTTTGGAATATCCAGCTGATAAACAATCATTTAGTAAATCAAATATAACAGATCCATGCTCATTCACATCAGCCAAGTATGCAGGTTTCTGTATTGAGTAGGTATCATCCACTCTAGTATTATTATACAGAATTTATATAGTGCTGACAGTTTGTACAGTGCTTTACAATATGAGGAAAGATACAATACAATTCAATACAGGAGGAACCAGAGGGCCCTGCTCATTAAAAGGAAGGGTCAAATGATACAAAAGGTAATAACTGTGGGAGATGAGCTGATAAAGGAAGTGGAAATACAGTAGTTAGGCGGAGGCGGGATAGGTTTCTCTGAAGAGATGGGTTTTCAGGGATTTCCTAAAAGTGGACAGAGTAAAATATAGCCGGAGAGTTTGGGTTAGAGAGCTCCATAGGATCTGAGAGACTAAGGAAAAGTCCTAGAGGCGAGCATGGGAGGAGGTGACAAGGACGCTGGAGTGCCAGAGGTCTTGGGAGGAAGGAAGAGGACAATTTGATTGGTATTTTTAGAAAAGGTTAGTGATGTAGCTGGGGGCCGAGTTGTGTATGGCTTTGTAAGCTACTACATCCATTATATATACATCCATACACCTGGAGAGGGTGTAATAAGTACCTAGCGATCTAATATATTTTAATTTTATAAAGAATTTATTTAAACACTTGATTAATTAATTAGAATAGTATCCCAGTAATTCACAATAATCACATGATTATCATATAAGCACATAATTATTTAAAGTGTAAGAATACTTCTAGTGGCTCACAAGTATTTATTTTAATTTTTGTAAGCTACTGTTACTGTTTTGAATTTAATTTGTTGGGTGAATTGCAGCCAATGAAGGGATTGGCAGAGAGGAGTATAGACACTGAATGGTTGGTAAGGTGGATGAGTCTGGCAGCAGCATTCATGATGAACTGGAGGAAGGATAGCCAATGGATAGTTAATCCAATCAGGAAGGAGTTGCAGTAGTTGCGGCAAGAGATGCCCAGAGAGTGAATTAGAAGGTTTGTGATTTCATTGGTTAGGAAGGGGGTGTATTTTGGAGATGTTGGGGAGGTTGAGTTGGCAAGCTTTTGGACAGTTATCTTTGAGGAATAGGAGAAAACATATGCAATCTATGGATATACAATCTTTTATTGATCTAACTAGCTATCAATATCAGCTTATTATCATCTAATGTACAGTATGTAGGCAAGTTAGAAAGACTCTTTCACTAAAGTGCTAAAGCTTGCTGTTCTTTCATGTCTTATGCACAGTCCTATTGGCACTATGACTGCCCATCATAGTGATGGACATATAGGAATGTGTCAGGACACGGCAAATGATGGAGCTTCATTAGGAGTCTGGCATATAGGTGAATCACTGCCTGCTCTTTAGATCTGTCAGTTGCTTTCAGCAAAGTAATAATCTTTTTTATCAGTTATGCATCACAGCATGTGTACCCCACTTCAAACATTTCTAGTTGTCTTAGATATATTACTGTGGCTATCCATCAAACAATGATTTCAGCATACTACTTACTTTCTCATGATTGAACTTCAAGTAGGCCAGCTCTTCGTTCAAGCTCTCAAAATGGGTTTCAATCTCTCCTTTGGACAGTGTAAAGTCATCTAGAACTCTGCGGAGCCCAGTGATATCAGATTCCACACTCTGGCGGAGAGCAAGCTCATTCTCATACCTTTAGAAAAATACAAATAATATATATTTTAGATAAGACCACATTCAAGAGTATATTTCATAAGCCAGGTTTTTTAGTCTCAGTTGGGTTTATTTGTGTTTTTTTAACACTGTAAAAACAGGAAAATACCTCAATCCCTTGAGTTCTTAACACCCTGCTTGCGCTGACAACACAGGGACTTTTCTGCATTAAAATCCCAAACAATGTTGGCAGCCGTGCCTGCTGAACTACAGAACTCCACCTATCCCCCACTCCTCTCTGTCCCACTCCATATTCATACATTGGTTTTTTTTTCCCAGAAACACATGTTGCTGCCTTGACTCCCAAGAGTCTGTCCTGTGTGTAGAGGAAGGACTCTTGGGAGATGTAGTTCTGGGGGCATGCAAGTGTCAATAGGAACTGACCTTTCAACAGCTTACCCTGCAAGTATTTTACAAGTATGGTGATGATATCATATTGATACGGTCTAGAGTAGCCTTTCTCAATCAGGGTGCCCAGGCACCCTGGGGTGCCTTCAGGCTTTTTAAGGGGTAAAATGCTTAAAAACTGCCCAAAAATTGTATGCAAGCCAGCAAGTGGATCAAGCTTGCCTGTTAGTTAAATTTGTGTAATCCTTGAAAACACTCCCTAAGCTCTTAGGATTTGTGCACCGTATGAGAAATAGTAAGAGTTAGTCCTAATTAGTTGAATAGTTTCCAACATTGATAACCAACAAAAATAATGCAGAGAAGTAATATTTTACTATGGAAAAAGAAAGTTTTCTAAAGGGTTCTTTATTATAAGAGACATAACAAAATTAAACATTCTTCAATCGATTATGGGACTGATGGGTGTTTGAGACCTGTGGACATTGGTCTTCAAATAGTGAAGTCCTGGTTGCCATTATAGAGGAGAAGATGAACTTCCCTTTCAAGGTTGTACATTGAGATACATGTTTCTATCCACCTATAGATGGAAAGGTTGGATTTTGCATTATATTGTTATCAGTTTATCAAATCCATCATTTGTTGGAATAATACTTTAATGGTGTAATGAACAGCTAACTTACTTTACTCTGAAGTCATCAGCTGCCAGTCTGGCATTGTCAATTTCCAGGACAATTTGAGAGTTCTTAATGTTTGCAGCCAGGAGCTAGTAGAAAAACAATTTATTTGTACTACTTATATACTGTGATACCTGTAATACTTATATACTGTGATAGATAATAAACAGTTTTTTCATTATAGTATTATAGAAATAGCAATAGCAGAAGTCTAATAAATCAATGTAAATGTTAATGTTTGAATGAAATGCATACATTATATTTAGTTCACAGCAGAATTGTTTTACATATAGATGTAATAGTTTAAAAAAAAGTAAATAGGCAAAATATAAAAAAATAGTTTTGTAACTTATTCTTCAGTTGTGATGGCTATATAAAAATACAAGCAGAAATTCACCTGTCTGTCAAATCTAATTATATAAGACCTGCATGAAACATGAGTTTTGCAGCCTGTTTTGTTCTGGTTTGTTCAGACTTTTGTTCACCGTAAAAAAAAAAGTATTTAAACTGTATGTGACATCAAAACCTTTTTTAGTTTTAGATAAGATTAGAGTAGGGTTAATACCCCTATGAAATTATTTTTTTGCTCCCTTCACTTCCCAGAGAAGCATCATGAAATGAGAAGAAATCTTTCCCACATGAACTGAGTTCCCATCTAAGAGAGGTGTTTCTAACATGGCATTCCATGTTGTTTCTCCAATTTCTCCATCATTTCAAGACGAGTTTGAACAAGTATACGAGATGCTTTCTGAATCTAAACCGTTTATATAAAGAAGGGTAAATGCTCTGTCTTTCTAATTCAAGCTAGCAAATTAGTTATTATTGTGTTTTAGCTATTTAATTATTATTAGTAGTTTAATGAGGTTGTTAGAAATGTGTTTAGAAGTTATCCATAATGTACCTTGCTCCTCAAGCCATTGATGGTATCATAGTATTTGCTGTAATCTTTGGCTGCAGTGCCAGCTCCAGCAACAACTTGCTTGTCATACCACGCACGGATCTTAATCTCCAGTTCATTGTTGGCTTCTTCCAGGGCCTTGACATTTTCTAGGTAGGCAGCCAGACGGTCATTTAGATTTTGCATGGTCTCCTTCCCACTTCCAGAAAGGACACCAAAGTTGCTGGATTCTGCCCCTCCAAATCCAGCAGAAGAGCTGATGCCAAAGCCACTGCTGAATCCACCACCAAAGCCTCCTTTAAAACTTCCACCAGTGCTAGCTCCATAGCCACTGGCACCAGCAAAACCACCTGCAATATTACTTCTGAAATATGAATCCTGAGAAGTTCCAGGGTTAGGGCTATAGAAGGCCATGGCTGATTTATTGGAAGGCTTGTTCTGTGTGTAGGAAGAATGTGTAGGAAGCGAAAAAGGACAGACCTATGGTCTTAAAGGCCTCTCTTTATATATATGCACACATATATTTATATATGTATATAGGCTGAAGGGGGGGTGTTGCATTTTCTAAATGAATGTCTTCCTAGAGTTTCGTTCTCAGCCTAGTAAACACCTGTTTGTCACCTAGTGTGATAAAGTGTGATGAGTGTGTGATCAAACTTATAGAAATGATGCAGCCCTTGGGCTGTTTGTCACGTATAAACTAGGATAGGCAAATTCCTCTTTCCTCAGAAGCTTGTTCATCAAATCCATTTATCTCATTTGCATCGGCATCATGGTATGAAGTGGTGGATTACAGTCAGGCCTCATACGCTAAGACCTGATGACCTCTGAGCCTCATCACACAACATACCAACATTAAGTGTGCCTGCCAATTGAATTTCTACACATATATAATATTTATTTCATTGAAAAATTAATAAAAAAAGTGAAAATCAAAATGTTCACAAATTTGACTGTCTACCATTTGACACACTGTTCACCTCATTGTGTAGACCAGTCCAGGTCCAAACCAGTTTAATCTTTCTTTGCCTGTTACATTCCACCCTCTATAGACAATCACTCTCCCATAAAAACTGGTAGTCTTTGGCTCTCCCATAAAATATAGTGGTACATCTAGTAGGTGCTCCCTAAGTATCCCTGCTCTGCTAAATGCATCCCTCTTCCCAGAGTCACTCAGGTAGTTCAACACACTTCCCTAAAAACACCAGTTCTATTCCTCCCAAAGCCCCTATTGCAGGATACTTGTTTCTTGGGTCTATGATACAGTCAGGGGCAGACTAACCATTCGAACACTCAGGCACTTCCCGAGGGCCCGGGGTCAGTAGGGGGCCCCAAGAGATGCCCCTGGTACCTTTCATAGGCTTTTTTGTGAGGGTTTGAGTGTAGACGAGGACACAGAGGGGCTCCATGATCCCCTATTGTCCGGGGGACCCATGAGTTGTCTGTCCGCCCCTGGATACAGCCATGCACCTTCTGTCACGGTCTGTCTGTTATGCACTCAACCAGGGAAAGAAAAAGTGCTGAGACAGGAATTAATTGATGAAATCAGGATTAACGGCTCATTCACACTACGTTCATTGAGCAAGACTTGAACGACACAGTTTCATGGTTAAAAAAAAGTGAACAAAAATGGAGCGCTGCAGCAGCACTAATAATGATAATTATAATAGTTTATATTATTACTTGTTTTTGCTCCTACACTTAAGTGTGATGGGTGCCAGGTGGTCTGTCACACTTAAGTGTAGTTCACCTTTTAAGAAAATAATGTAATAATGTGAACTAAAGACTGGCACATATGATAAGAATATTGAACAAATGATCAACGTTTTTATTTGTCTTTTTTTTGCATGCTAGTATCCAAAACAGAGAGGTTACTGAAGTTACGAAAATTTCTGTATGAAAGAATACAACTTCGGAAGGGATGTAATGCATTGTATTGTATTGTACTGTAATGTATTCTTTCGTTTCTGAGCATGCATGATCTTGGTCACTTACTGATCTGATTAAATGAAAATCATTCATTTTGGTATTGTACAAGAAACATTTTTGTGTTTGTCCCTTCAGATAATTTCACATGGACTGTCATGATTGGCTCTTAAAAGCTGTGTACTAATGATTACAATATTAGAGGATTGCTCAGAAAGTGGGATTTTTTTGTCCAATTTTCTCATGGTGTATTAGGCCTAACACTGTACACCCTCACCCACCCTCCTGCCCCTGGTCCTCCCGCTGTACTTACCTCTGGGGGTGACGAGTTGTGAGTGCCCACCCAGCTGGTATAGTGGTCTGGGAATTTGAAATTCCAGCTTACATAGTTACATAGCTACATGGTTAGTTTGGTTGAAAAAATCTCCAATGTCTGTCCTGGTTTATTTGGGGGACTGGTCTGTGAGGTGGGACATATCAGCATCTGTAAGCCTCCCACATGAATGAGTAAGTGGTATGTAGTATGCTTTGTTACTAATTCATAAGAAGAAAGGCCTACGTAAATAAATAGTCCCTCACCATGACAAGTCCTTTGTTACCAAAAAAATGCCCCATTGTGTAGATCTGTCATCAATGACAATGAGTGACAGTTAGGCATGAAACAAGAAGGCCAAAGATCTTGGAAGTAATTCATTTGCTAGCTGTATTGATACTACAACTAAATGGGTCACTTCTGGTTTAAGCAGAAGCAGAAGGTTTTGAACAGCCAAACAGGCCGATCTGGCAATTTAGTTTACCCATTAGGTAAACCTCAGGCAGCTAGAGTTTGATTTGACCTCTCCATTGACCTGTTTCCAAAGCTGGGTCCCCTGCACCGGCATCTTTACTGTGGGCAACAGACTTTGACTCTTTGAGGCTTCACAGCCGGTTCCCCGCTGAGCATGTGCAAGCCATTTGGGTGGCCACGCAATTGTCAGTTAAAGTAACGCAGCGCCGTAACGCAAAGAATGGCCTGGTCAGGAAAGGGGGGGTAAATCCTCTGGAGGGCAAGTGATTAATGATGGTTTTTCGTTTGGCTTTTCTTCATGTAAATCCCATTTTCTTTAAGTGATGTCTTACAGTTTGGTCACAGGCTTTGACTCCAGTTTCTGCCCATTTGTTCCTCATTTGTTTTGTTGTGCATTTTCTGTTTTCAAGGCATAATTGCTTTAAGTTTTCTATCTTGACGTTTTGATGTCTTCCTTGGTCTACTAGTATGCTTCCCTTTTACATCCTTCCAATTTGATTTGTACTTGGTCCAGATTTTAGACACAGTTGACTGGGAACAACCAACATCTTTTGCAACATTCCATGATGATTTACCTTCTTGAAGAAGCTTTATAATCCTTTCCTTTGTTTCAACTGACATCTCTCCTGTTGGAGCCATGATTCATGTCAATCAGCTTGGTGTAACAACTTACCAAGGTGTGCAAGTACTTTTTTAACTGCAGACTAATTAGCATATGTAATCTGATACATGGTGATCCCATAATATGTTCCTCAGAATTGAGTGATTGGATATTTTTTCCTCTGCTTGATCTGCAAAAAACAGTTGTAATTGACTACCGTTTTCTTTCTTTTTAATTTTTTTTAAGGGTTCCTTAAAGCCAGAAGGTTGGAATGTTAAATGAAAATAGTTTTGAGGCATGTCTGTGATTGTTTTTTTTTTTTCTACACAATTAAACAATTGAGTGAACATTTTCCAAGAGTGGTGATTCCATACTTTTTGCCAGGGGTTGTAGAATAGACTCTCTCAGGAGCTAGCTATAGCCAAGTTTAATTTTTTTTTTAATAACCTGGAATGTTTTTTCTAAATCCACTGAACACTGTTTTTTTTTTCCTGTAGGAGCAGATTGGACCATGCCTTATAAAGGATCTTCGCCTTCCTCTTGAGCAACTGCTCGTTTAGGTTTCTGAGGATGAAAACTTTGTTTTTCTGTTGCTTGAAATCGATGGTAATTTTTCAACCTGACTAACTAAATTACCTTTTATTTGTGTAATTGATGTCCAACTCTAACTAAAATTTTGTTGTTCCTTTTGGAAAGGTTGTAGAAGGTTGATAACCTTCAGTCATCTCTATTGCTTTCTATACCTCAATTAGGAACATTTCCCGTCACTTTCTGTGTCTTCATTAAAGATACTTCCCCTCACTTCTTTTTGTTTTGGTGTCTCTGGGACATGTTCTAAGGAGAAATCCCTCCAGTGTGGGACAAGCACAGTAAAAAACCAAGGGGGAGATTTTAATCCTACTTTATCCAAAGTCACAAGTTTTGGCAGGAACGGGACTTTAATTATATGGATTAAATGCATGTTTCATCTCTGACCTCGTAACAGAAAAGATGCCATAGTAAGGAAAGATGCAGGCTTTATTCAGTCAATTTTTTTTTTATAATTTTACTTTAGAGCAGTAGCATTAAATAGATGTCCTGACACAACCCAGCGCCACCATTTCTTGTCTTTACCATGGATGTTTTTTAATGTAGTCTTTTTTTTTTTTTTTTATTTCATTTCCTCAACTTGCTCAGTTTTTGATGACACAACCTTCCCATCTACCACTTCTGCAATGATGGTCTTCACCATTATGGCTTTGGTTGGTTCTGAAAATGAAGAATTGTAATGTTAAATATTTTGGAGCTGATGCTCTGCTTGTATCTGAAGTCCCAATACAACTAAAAACATACTGTATAGGAGTCATATTTTTTTATTAATGAATATATCTTGCTACAAACTGGACATTCAATCTCCTAATCTGTTTGTTGCTACCAGTCGGTAAAAATGCATAGCCTAGTCCTCAACTGAGATATCAGACTCTGACAGTTGCCATTTCCTTCTCAATCAGTCTATCATTGATGTCTTCTCAAGACTGTAATAGCCCATTGACAATCATATATTATTTTTATAATCAGAGCCATAACTAGCGATTTAGAGGACCTCGTAGCAAAATGTTGACGGGACCCCAATCAGTTGCAGTCATCCATAATGAACCAATAAGACTGTTATAAAGTGGGGCATTATGTGTGCATTTTGTAAACCTTTGGAGTCCAGCAATGGATGGTGTCCCAAGGGCCATGGTTCTGCTCTGTGGATAGCCCTCTATTGGCTCTTTCCCTTGAAGTCCCTAAAGGCAACTCAGACTGGCTCCATCAGGTTACTGTGACTCAAGGCTGGATCTAGCCTGTCTGATGTGGGGGTGCAGTAAAAAATGCCAAATGAGCCGAGGATGGGAGGTCAGCAGGGCAGAGGACAGGGGTCACTGCTTGCAGGGAAGAGGACAGGGGTCACTGCTGGCAGGGAAGAGGACAGGGGTCACTGCTGGCAGAGCAGAGGACAGGGGTCACTACTGGTAGGGCAGAGGACAGGGGCACAGCTCCTTCTCCCATTCCTGCACTGAACACAGCCTGGGCACAGGCAGCAGAGCTAGGGAATTAGTGTGTCGAACTGGGGCGGTACAGTATCAGATTAGGGTGGTAGTGGGTCAGTTTACGGCAGCAAAGTGGCAGGTTAGGGCAATATAGTGGCAGGTTAAGGTTGGCTTTGGGGGGGCACAACTACAATCTGGGGGGCATAGCCCACCCCACCACCCCCCTAGATCCAGCCATACTGTGACTTACCAAGCACTGTGCCCATGGCTAGGGACTCCACTTTCCCTTAAGGCACAGAGAAAGTTCCTTTTGGTCAGGAATAACTTAATGTCCAGACAGGTGCGTATCTTTTCCAACGCTTTAGTGAATTATTCCATAAGCAGATTACAGCAAACTCAGTCAAGTGCAGGCATAAAAGCTTAATAACATATGCAAACATGGTTACGAGGAAGTCCATAACAGAGACCTGTGTCTTTAAACATAGAGAAATAGAGTCATGGCATCCCCAGCATGGGGCATGCACTAATTTTAACTCCCAGTTGAAGGAAAAGCCACAGGCTTCTCCAAGAGAAATTGAAGTGCAAGATTCATCTCTCTACTGGCTGCAGACTAGGCCTTCCCATGAATGAGCCCCCTAAATACCACCCCTGAACTTTCATACCCCTTTTGCAACATAGATGATTTACTGGAAGACTCCCATGCAACCTGGAGGGACTGGGGGTTAATAGATAAAGAGCAGCTTCACAGTAATGAGGATGTCCTACACTAGCAGATTAAATGCGTCATTCCAGACTAGTGTTTCTGAGCAGAGAAAGCAGTGTTTTTGGCTTTCTCCAGATTCTATAGTTCTGGATCAGAACATTCAATCCTATGTCTGGGTTTTGACACCTACAACCTGGCTGGGTACACAGGTGTGTGGTGTTGTTATATACTTAGCTCTAAGGATAGCTCAGGGCTTCCAGTTTGGAGACTGCTCCCTATGTGGGAGATGGAAGGTCTCCTTGAGGGTTAGAGGGCGGCCCAGCAAGAAGCCAAGAAACAGAGGTCTCATCAAGGGGTCAGAGGGCTCCAGCCAGAATTGAAGTCGGCTCCCATTTTATAGACAGGGCTCAACCCAAGAGCCAGGAATGATTGCTGTGTGAATCAAAGAGGAGCTGTGTGCTCTGAAGGTCCTTAAACTGTGTGCATTTGAAAGGAGCTGTGTTCTCTGAAGTTATTTAAACTGTGTGGAAGAACCTGTAGTCTGGGTGACCAGTGTCAAGAGCAGAGGTACTGCAGAAGAGAGCCAGGCGGCTTGGTATTTTTCCCTAAGAGTCAGTTGGATATACCTTGGATCAACTTTACCTATAAATGTTAGTATCCAACAGAACAGATATCCACTGTAACTGAACACCTACAAATTTGTGTCCAGGTAATCTGATGGGCCACTCCAGTGTTCGCAATGCTACTTAGAGCTAATCAGCTTTTTCTTTAAAAACTGTTACAGTGCTGATAGATGGATCAAAACTACTCTGTGATTCTCAGCCTCTGAGCCAGCAAAAGAGATCTTTCAATGAAATGGTGAACCTGAAAAACAAAGTAAGTGAGTGAGTTTATGTATTGACTAGACCCCCTATCCATGGGTACCATAGCAGCTACATGAGTTGCTATGCCTTTGGTTATGCCCTTACAATCAGTTCTGACTGTATTTCTAGCAAGATCAAACTGATATCTCATGTTTATGAACATTTTTTTAAATTATTTGCTTAAACAAATATTAACCAATAATTAGCATCCTGTTACCTTTTTTGGAGTTTACAGAGGATGTCTGTGATATGGCAGTTGAAGATTGGGAAATCTGTTCAGCCGATACTGTTGAAGAGGAAGATGCGGACACTGAGGATGAGCTCTGAGAGGAGGGTTTACTGCAAGAACAAAGATTATCGATCAATACATCATAGTACGCAGCACTACCCTGTTAAGATTTGGGTCCCCTTATAGTCCTATACAGCCAGGCAACATGCATTTCCTTCACTCAGACTTGCATTAGGAGACAGTAACCAGTCCTTGAGCTTTGTTTTGAAGTTTCATTTGGGGGTTTAGAAGTCGGATGGGGTGTATGGGATGCCCAAGGGAAATGGAAACTGAGGACAAAACTCCTTAGCAACTATGTACAAGTCTGTACAGCAAAGTTTCTCTTATGGAGAGCTAGCATCTGCTGTAGTACCACCCCAGACCCCGGGTGAATCCTCTCCTCATCCAGTTGTACTCGGTGAATCCCTGGGCAGGGGATCCAGTGCCTGTGCTGCACTGTAAACAGTCCCAGGTAAGATAGCAAATCCAGTTTTTCACTAGAGCTCTACTTTCCCCTTACTAGCCTAAGGGGTGCAGATTTACTCACTTGGTCCTTCTCCTGTGCTGCCGGGGGGTCAGTGGCTGCTACTCCCTTCTCTTCCTCACAGGTGGTCCTCGCTCTGGGGGCCGGTGAAGTCCTAAGCTTTCAGGATTCCAAGGCCTTCTGCCTGCAGGTGAGTCCTTCTCCCACTGGGCCCCCTCACAGGCTCCTGCCTCCAACCTCACATCCTTCTCTCTTTCTTCCACCCCAACTCTCCTGCTGATGAGCAGGCTGAGCTACTCTTAAAGGTTGTCCTGGCCCTTTGTGAAGCCTCCTGTTGGGGATTGGCCAGGATCCCCTAAGAGTACAAACCAGCCACTGCTCAGATCCACCTACTGCTTCTAGATCTTTCTCCAAAGTTCTATAGCAGGGGGGAATTCCAGAGGGGCTGGTCTGCAGAGCCTCTCAGTCCTGACCACAATTTGACCCCCCTGACTGGTGCGCCAGGTTGCTACTCAGCCTCTTCCTAATTATTAGGATCTAGCTCCCCCTAGCTATCTAGGAGGGTGCTACATTCACCCCCCACTGAAAAAAACCATGTCCTCATTAGCCGGTGGGACAAAAAAACAACGATGGCTCCTGAGCTCAGGAGAAGCGCATCCCATACAAAAACTGGGAGGGGGAAAAAGGGTACAGAAATGGAAAGGGGCAATAAAATAGACCTCCCTCTGACTGTGGCACCAGGATGCTACTCAGCATTTGCCTAATTATTAGAATCTGGCTCCTCCAAGCTATCTAGGAGGGTGCTACAATTATTGTTAAAGAATGTATACTGTACATGTACAAGCTTTCAGGCAATCATATGTTGTGACTTTGAAGTGGTTTATCAGGGCCATGGCTGCAGCTGTTAGCCATAACCCCAATATTAAAATTTTCAGCCGGAAATTCTCTTTTTGATAAAAGGGATCCAAGAGGCTGATTAGCCACTGAATCGCTTTTAGAAGCAGCAGGAGTGGTTGCCGTCCCCCCCCCCCCCCGCAACTCTCCAATGTTTCTCAAGTTTACCCCTTCCACTGGGAAGCCCAGGGGGTCCGATCCATTGGTCAGCTGGCCATAGAGGTGAAGAGAGACCAGAAAGTCTTGACATCACTTCTGGTTTAGGGCAGATGTAAACACTGCCATTTTTTTTAGGAAAGCATCAGATCAATGTGTTTTTTGATCTGATGCTTCCAAGGGTCAAAGAGAGATCTGTGGTATCTTCCAGATATCTCTATAAAAAGGACCTGTCATGCTTTATTTTTATTGCAAAATTTATTCTAATAGCGTTAAAAGTGGTAAAAAAATAAAATAAACGGGCACGGTAAAAATAAAAAAATAATAAAATAAAATACAATTTTTTAAAGTGCTCATGCACTGCGGAGAGCGAATGGCTCCAAACTGTAGTTTGGCATCATTCCACGAGCGTGCGCAGTTTTAAAGTGTGACATGTTAAGTATTTATTTACTTGGCGAAACATCATCTTTTATAGTTTACCAAAAATTGGGTTATATATTGTATTTTCTTGCATTAACCACTTGCCTACCCTGCACTTATGCCCCCTTCCTGAATTGGATCTGAATTGGAAGGATTTGATATTTTTGGACGCTAGTCCAACCAATCAAGAGAAATTACATGAGCTGATTGGACAATGTCGACTGGCGTCATGTGCATCCAAAGTAACAAATGGAATAAAATTCAGATCAATTCGTTATCTGAATCTGAATTATCCAACACATTCAAAAATTTAATTTATTATCACTTTTGTAGAGCTTTTATTAATTACATCCACAGTAAAGCCCGGTACACACTTTACATTTTTATTTCGTTCAACCCAGCGAGCTGAAAAGAAAAAACCCTGAAAGATCACTGTACTGACTTCAGAGGATGGTGAAAGGAGCTTTGTCAGAGTTCAGGGGGATCCCAATGCCTGTTTTTTTTTAACTGAATGTCAATTTTGCTTTGTGGGAATTTGCTGAACTGCAAGTCAAACATTAGTCCCCAATCACTTACATGGGAGGGTTTGAAAAGCGAACGTCACATGTAGTATGTTGCAAGTAGCGTAACAAATGGTGCACTGCAATGCAAAGCATCCTGACCATGACAATGTGTACCCATCCTAGCAGCACCATGTCAGCTTGTAGGTGGGCTGTCTGAAGGTGGTAATAACCTGCACTTACCCTAGTTCTCCTTCCAGCAGGCTGCGGTATGTCTCAATCTCCATCTCCAGTCTTGTCTTGATGTTGAAAAGTTCTTTATAGTCTAGGCTCTGGCGTTCTGTATCTGATCTGATCTGTAAGAGCTGTTCCTCAAGCCCGGTTATGATGAGCTGGAGTTGATGAAGCTGTCCTCCATAATCAGCTTCTGCTTCCACAAGTGTGTCCTCAAAGGTTTTTTTCTAAAATGTCACATGACAAATAATGTCAGTGAACCATGTTGTATACTGTAGTCCAGCCTTTCTCGACCTTTTCAACAAAGAGGAACCCTAGCAATAATTTTTCGGTTTCAGGGAACCTGCTGAAAATAACTAGATCTACAATTCATGATATGTTAGTGTGATGGCCAGTAAGAAAAATGCTCCTTACACTTGTGGTCATTGGGAAGAAGAATTATCCCCTTACAGATAGCTAAAAAGATCAATGGTGTCAGTGGGAACTTATCGAAGAGGCAGAAATTTCTCATTGCTCAAGGAACCCCTTGGGTTCCATGGAACTCTGGTTAAGAAATCCTGCTCTGGTCAATGAACATATATTTTTTATGAAAGAGAACTTTTTACTTCTCCATTGTGGTAACCTCCCTGGCGGTATTCCTGAGTGTAGCCCGGGGTTAACTTTCAATACCAAAAGTGGTAACCCCGAGCTACACTCGGGAAATCCCTGCAGTGTTGCTCTGGAATTCCGTGTTTCACTTACCTTGTCCTGCGCTCCCGCGATGTCCCCCCCTGCAGCGTCCCCGGCCATCTCCTCCGGCTGATGCTGGCATCTGTCTTCTGGTTTCCCATCCCTGCGAGTGCCGGGACGTACGGGGGCCAGAACCGGCAGAAATTTAAAAATTTTAAAAAGTGACATTCACTAAATACACTAAAATCACATAGTATAACATTACTGTATCAAACCATTTCACATACATTTTGTCCCGAGTGCTTTGTCCTGTGCCCTGCCTGCATTTTTACTGTTCTTTCTGCCTGGAAACTGAGAAATGTCCTGGCATCCAAAAAGCGTCCCTTTAGGTCAAAAGCGGTTTTAGACCAGCTAGAAAATAGTGATAGTAAATTAGAATCACTTGCAGAATTGAGTGATAATGATTCGTGGGGGAAATTCATAATCAGACACTGAAAACGATTTTGCGATTTTGCTCAGCGATGTGCGAACTTGGCGCTATATTTCAAATTTCAGTGTTTTTGGTTTGATTATATTATTGAATTAAATGTATTATTATATATTATTATTTTTTTTATGATTATTTATTATATTATAATTTATGATTTTCTGTTTCAAATTTTATAGTACCCGGGATGTTTACCAGACTCTTGTTCGGACAGATTTCAGTGAGTTATTCCTAAAAATTACAGGCCTACAATAAAAAAAAGACACATTTATATGCAAAAAAAGTACCACTTTGAGCACAGAAATATTGACATAATCATACCGCTAGGCAGGTTAAGTGGGCATTGTCACACTAAGACGGGAAGTGTAGTTCTGGCAGGATATTAAGAAATAATGGTTAAAGACAAAAAGGTCATTTGTATGCCCAGTTATCACACTGCTCATGCTATCTGTAGCAATAGGACTTGCTTCTGGGTGTACTATACTAACCATATTTCTTCCTTTTTTAGACTGACTTTTAGGTCTATTCTACAACAGGATCACCAGGTGAAAATAAAGAGAATAGGGCCTGAAAAAAATAGAAAACTAATGAAGTCACCACATCTAAGGACTGGCAATCTACAATGAATTACAGTTTTGTTTTTGAATTTATATACTATATGCTTTAAATGACTAGCAATTGTGCCTTGTATTGCCAGGGCTCTTGGTTTGATTCCCACTCAGAACACTAGATGAACTGAACGTGGATGTATTTCCTGTGTTTTGTGGGGTCGTTTTGTTCATTCAGCGAGCATGCTGTTTTTTTGTTTTTTTTTAATATCATCTTCTACTCAAAACTGACTATGTTGGGTGGATGTGGTAGAGATTTTTAACTTGGCACATATATGAAATGAAATAATTTGGAAAAAAATTAGTTTTGGGTAAGGAACAAGATATATTAATGTGATATGGATATTTTCACATAGTTACATCAGACCAGTGTGAAAAATGTAAGAGTATATGTGCCATACCTGGCTGATATCTATGGAAGGTGGCACCCAATGTAGTAGGCGTCACAGCTACAGTGATCACCACTAGCTTCAGGGTCCCATGCTCAGCAGCTGTTAGGAAGAGAAAGTAGAGTGACAGAGAGTTGAGATCATCAATGTACTCCTTTTCCTTTCTCTGTCCATTCACAGGCTTGGGCCTGTCCAGGATGACCTGGACTCAGAGGAAGCAGGTTGAATAATGTTGGTCATAAGACTGAGGACATCTAGTGACAGAAAAAAAGTACTGAGGAGGTGCTTTCTGAATTCAAGATGAAAATTGCAGCAATAGCTTGTTTTGCTTTTTGTTCTTTAAGGGCTATACATTTTTATTTTGTTATTTCTGGCAGGAGTTGTACTTTAAAAGGGCATATTTTTTAAAACAAGACCTGCTTATAAATATGTGAAAATTTAACTTCACAGTTTAGATATTTGTTCTATATTAGCTTCTCGGCTTACCAATGCCATCAGGGACTGCAGCTCAAGCTCAAAGCTTTGGAGGGTTCGTCTGAGATCAGAGATTTCAGTCTTGCTTGAATTCGCTTGTTCCATACCAGTTGAAATTTCTGTCTTCAGTTCACTGCTCTAAAATGGGAACATTTTGTTGGCTTCTTCTGTTTGCATTGTTTTAATAAACCAAAAAAAAAATGAATGTATAGACAAATCCATTACCCACAAAGGACAATGTAACAGAAGGGTAAGCGCTTTGAGTCCCATCCTGCTGACCATATCCACATTCATAGGAGAAAATCCTCCTCTTGCAATCAATTACAGGTCAGGATATTGATTAGTCAGGATAGAACATTTGTACGTATTTGGTCTTTTTATGCTTTATTATTTCTTTTGATAATATAACCATCTGGACATTTGGGTACCAAAAGGCTGGGCACTGTAGGTGTACAACATTATATTGTAAATGTCTGTAGAATGCCCCCCTAATTGTACAGAGGCAGCCCACCACAGGAAGAACCAGTTCATTCACACCAGCTTCAATAATATTGTCTAAGGGACATCTTTTTGACATTTTTGCTTGAAAAACTTTAACAGGAGATTGGTTAGGGCACTGGATACTCCAAAGAATGGTTAGCAAATAGCTATGTGAGGGCAATCTTCTGCTTAGGTAAATGTGAATATTGAATAGTGTAAGGCCTCACAACTGTAGACCACGAAGCAAGTTTTCTTGGCATCTGGTTACCTTTAGCCACTGCACAACTATTGGTACCCCATGTGATTTCTCAAACACTGCACAGCAACAAGGGGGCACCCTTTTTCAGGTTTACACTCTAGGATTCTGCTGAGGATCACGGAATGGCCAAAATTCTGAGACCCTATGAAGTCTGTCTCAGTTCACAGCTACTTCTGGCACTTACATCCCTAAAAGCGCACCGCCACCAGGAATCAATTCAAGGTCTTTACTCACAAGTCCTGTCAGGGATCCCCTCGATCCCCGCCGCGTTGGTCCCGGCGCAGGCGCAGTATGCCGCCCGGCGCAGGGACTCGAGCACTGGGTCCGGGCCGGCCGCGGCGTTCGAGTTCGCGCATGCGCAGTAGAAGCCGCGGCGCCCGCTGGGCACCAATGGCAGCGCAGGGCGGGATATTTAAACGACCCTGAGCTGTCATTCAGTGCCTTCTGGTCTTTCCTGCATCCTGTATCCTGTGAACCTGTACCCTGTAAGTTATTGACCCGGATTGTACCTGACCTTGCTGTTTTCTCCTATTCTGACCCTTGCTTTGCCTGACCTCTCTCCTGAATGCCCCCTATTGGATTTGACCTGCTGTTGCTGACCTGGCGTGTGACCCGACCATTCTATGCCCGCTGCCTTGTACCTTGCCGCCCTCTCTGTTACCGACCCGGCCCGTCTGACCTTGCTCATCCATCCATCCATCCCGTGCAGTGGGGTCTTCTGACCTCCTCACATCAGACTCTTCCCCGTGGGAGCCCCTTGCGCATACTACTACCACTGACGGGCGCACCCGGTAGCCACGACCTGGTCTCAGGGAGCTCCAAGTCCATCCCCACCATCAGGGGCCCTGGTGAACAAGCACCCTGGGACTTAGACTCCGTGCGCTGGGGACGCCTATTCTGTGGAGTGCTAGTAGTACCGCCGGGCGGTCCCTTACAGTACCAGAAGGCCATGACTGAGTCTAGAGGAGGTCCCTCGCCGCTGGAGGAGATCTGCAGGCACCTGTCCAATTTGACACAGACCGTATCGGCCCTGCAGGATAGATGTCAGCGGATTGAAACTCAATTCCAGGCCTGCACTATATCCGCTCCCGCCCCACAGGCCGCAGTCCCCACATCTCCAGCTGTAGCAGCCCCTGTGCTGGTGTCTGGGGCATCCGCACCACTCCCGGCGGCCGACCCCCGAGTACCCTTACCGGAACGTTTCCACGGGGACCGCACACGTTTTAGATCATTCCGCGAGTCCTGCCTCCTCTATTTTGAGCTACAACCCCGAACCTTCGTGACTGAATCCGTGAAGGTGGGGTTCGTCATCTCCCTCCTGCAGGGTGAACCCCAAGACTGGGCCCATCGATTACGGGGAAAAAACGACCCTCACCTCAGTTCGGTTGACAGTTTTTTTGATGCTATGGCCATCCTTTATGATGACCCACAGCGGGCAGCTTCTGCTGAAGCTACTCTGTACACGCTCCGGCAAGGCCGCCGAGCGGCGGAGGAGTACGCAGCTGAATTTAGGCGATGGATGGGGGATACTCGCTGGAACGAGTTCGCACTCCTGCATCAGTTCCGTATTGGCCTATCAGATGGCCTGAAAGACGAGCTCGCCCGGGTGGAGGTACCTGAGACTTTAGAGGACTTAATAGCACTGACCATTAAAATTGACCGTAGACTGCGGGAACGCAGGTTTGAGAGGTCCGGCCAGGGTCATGGAAATCCCTGGGGATCATTTCAGGGTCCCAGTCAAACACCTAGGCCAGTCGTCCAAAACCGGCCACCTGGAGACAACCCCGAACCCATGCAGCTCGGCCTGGCACGGCCTAAACTATCCCCAGAGGAACATCTGCGCAGACGATCCCAGAACCTGTGCCTCTATTGTGGCGAAGCTGGTCATATGGCGCGTTCCTGCCCGCAGAAACTGAGTAAGTGCACCTCTTCTTCCTTATCCATTGGCAATGTTGGTCCATCCCAATACTTAGTGGTACCCCTTTCCTTTCAGCTTCCAGAAAGGACCGTGGAAGTATCGGCCATAATTGACTCTGGGGCATGCAGCTGCTTCGTGGATATTAATTTTGCTCACCAACAGGGTATTCCCCTTCAATTGAAACAGAAGGGGTTCAATATTTATTTGGCCGACGGTTCCCGAATAAAATCGGGGGTAGTGAACCAGGAAACCCCCTCCATCACCACTGTCATTGCCGGCCAGCACCAGGAATTCCTCCGCCTGGATGCTATAGCTTCACCCCTCTTCCCAGTCATTCTGGGGCTCCCATGGTTACGGGCCCATAACCCCCAGATTGACTGGGAGACCGGAGTAATCACGTTCCCTTCCCCATACTGTCGGATATATACTGCCGTACTTCGGGCCCGGGGGGCCCCCCAAATCCTCCTGTGCTCTGAGGGGGAAGCTGAATTAAAACAAGTAATCCCTGCGGTCTACCATGGGTTTTTAGATTGTTCAGCAAACGGGGAGCTGATACTCTACCCCCCCCCCACCGCCCTTATGACTGCCCCATTGACCTGTTACCCGGCTCAGAAATTCCTTTTGGGCGAATCTTCCCCCTTTCAGAGCCCGAATTGGGGGCCCTAAAGGAATATATCGAGGACAGCCTCCAGAAGGGGTTCATCCGCCACTCCACCTCACCGGCGGGGGCGGGGAATCTTCTTTGTTGAAAAGAAGGACAAAACCTTAAGGCCATGTATCGATTACAGGGAATTGAACAGGGTCACGATAAAAAACCGTTACCCACTACCATTAGTACCTGAGCTGTTCCAAAGTTTAAAGTCAGCAGTGGTTTTTACCAAGCTGGATCTGAGGGGGGCGTACAACTTGATTCGCATAAGGGAGGGGGACGAGTGGAAGACGGCCTTCCGCACCCGCTTCGGTCATTTTGAATATCTGGTCATGCCGTTCGGGTTGTGCAATGCTCCGGCCACTTTTCAACACTTTGTAAATGATATTTTTAGGGACTTTCTGGATGTCTTCGTGATCGTTTATTTAGACGACATTCTGATTTTCTCCCCGTCTTTGGGGGAACACAGAATACATGTAGCAAAAGTATTGGGGCGGTTGCGGCAGCATGGGTTGTACGCCAAGGCAGAAAAATGTTGTTTTGAACAATCCAGCATTGCCTTCTTGGGCCTGATTATCTCCACCGCGGGGGTCGCGATGGATCCCCAGAAGGTCGCTGCAATACTGGATTGGCCTGAACCCACAGATAGGAAAGGCGTCCAACGATTCATCGGCTTTGCAAATTTTTACCGGAAGTTCATCAAGAACTTCTCGGGTCTGGTCTCCCCCATTACTCAGCTAACCAAGCTGGGAACCCGATTCAGATGGACACCAGAAGCGCAGGGAGCTTTCGAAGTCTTAAAGAAGCTGTTCACTTCGGCACCCATTTTGGGTCACCCAGACGCCGCTCTGCCCTATATCTTGGAGGTAGATGCATCGGAGAATGCGGTAGGCTCCATCCTCTCCCAACGAAAAGGCACCAAGGAACTGCTCCACCCTGTAGCGTTCTTCTCACGGAAGCTGACCCCAGCGGAGAGGAACTATGATATCGGTGATCGAGAGCTACTAGCGATCAAAACGGCGTTAGAGGAATGGAGGTACCTGCTGGAAGGTGCGGTGCACCCCATCTTAATATTTACTGACACCACAAGAACCTAGAGTATCTGAGAACCGCCAAGCGTCTACGCCCGCGACAGGCGAGATGGGCACTATTCTTTTCGAGATTCAACTTCCACATTACGTACCGGCCGGGATCAAAGAACACTAAGCCGGATGCGTTATCACGGATGTACGAAGACGCCAAGGAGACCCCAGTACCTGACACCATCCTGTCCTCGGGTAACTTCTTGGCCCTTCAGTCGGATCTTCGTTCCAGGCTAATGGAGGCATCCACAAACTTCTCTACCCCAGGCGGAGGGCCACTCCGGAACAAGGGGGGACTCCTATGGAGGGAAGACCGAATTGTGGTGCCGGAAGAAACCCGAACCTTGGTCTTGGGGCATTGCCACGACCACCCAATGGCGGGGCACTTTGGCCCAGAAAAGACCCTGGAACTTCTCCGACGCTCATTCTGGTGGCCAGACATGGCTAAGGATTGTAAGGGCTATGTCAGGTCCTGTGTCACCTGCCAGAAGAACAAGCCAGCAAGAAACAAGGTTTGGGGTCTGCTGCGACCCTTACCTATTCCTGAACGGCCTTGGCAAAAGATCTCACTAGACTTTATAGTTGAGCTTCCGCCATCCCGAGACCACACGGCAATCCTGGTAGTCGTGGATCGCTTGTCCAAGATGGCCCACTTCATCCCGTTGAAGAAAACCCCCTCGGCGGCCGAGACCGCGCAAGTCTTCATTCGTGAGGTAGTCAGGTTGCATGGGGTCCCTGAAGACATCGTCTCGGACCGAGGGGTCCAGTTCACGTCCAGATTCTGGAGGGCACTGTGCAAAGCCCTGGACATCAAATTATCTCTCTCCTCTGCGTTCCACCCTCAAACTAACGGTCAAACCGAAAGGACCAATCAGACCTTGGAGCAATACTTAAGATGCTATACCTCGTTTACTCAAGATGACTGGCTGCCACTTCTTCCTTTAGCGGAATTTGCGTATAACAACGCCCGCCACTCAGCAACAGGGCAGTCCCCGTTCTTTGCCAACTATGGCTTTCACCCAGTCTTCCTCCCGGATTTGGTGTCGGAATGCCCAGTACCAGCAACACAAGATGTGGTAACATTCTTCGCTGCGAACAATAAGAAGCTTCAAGTGGCCATCAGTCGGGCCCAGGAAGACTACAGGAAAGCATTCAACAGGAAACGGAGAGGAGATCTGGTATTGCGGCCTGGGGAGAAGGTTTGGCTGGCAACGTCCAATCTAAAGATGCTTTGCCCGTCAAAGAAATTGGGACCCAAATTTATAGGCCCCTTCTGCATTAAACGGATGGTTAACGAAGTAGCCTACGAACTCGCCCTCCCTGACACGCTCAAGATCCACCCGGTCTTTCATGTGTCCCTGCTGAAGCCAGTGGTCCCAGATGCCTTCCCTGACCGGGAATCTAGACCCCCGGAAGCGGTAAAGGTCGAAGGAGAAGAAGAGTTTGAGGTTGAAACAATCCTGAAGTGTCGAAGGAGGGGAGGCCAGACCCAATTCCTTATCAAATGGAAGGGCTATGGTCCTGAGGACAATTCTTGGGAACCAGCCCATAATGTCCATGCACCCAGACTTGTCCGGAGGTTTCTTTCGCGATCACCCGTGGTGGAGAGATCGGGTGGGCATCCGGAGGTTGCCCGTAGGGGGGGGGCAATGTCAGGGATCCCCTCGATCCCCCCGCCGCGTTGGTCCCGGCGCAGGCGCAGTATGCCGCCCGGCGCAGGGACTCGAGCACTGGGTCCGGGCCGGCCGCGGCGTTCGAGTTCGCGCATGCGCAGTAGAAGCCGCGGCCGCCCGCTGGGCACCAATGGCAGCGCAGGGCGGGATATTTAAACGACCCTGAGCTGTCATTCAGTGCCTTCTGGTCTTTCCTGCATCCTGTATCCTGTGAACCTGTACCCTGTAAGTTATTGACCCAGATTGTACCTGACCTTGCTGTTTTCTCCTATTCTGACCCTTGCTTTGCCTGACCTCTCTCCTGAATGCCCCCTATTGGATTTGACCTGCTGTTGCTGACCTGGCGTGTGACCCGACCATTCTATGCCCGCTGCCTTGTACCTTGCCGCCCTCTCTGTTACCGACCCGGCCCGTCTGACCTTGCTCATCCATCCATCCATCCCGTGCAGTGGGGTCTTCTGACCTCCTCACATCAGACTCTTCCCCGTGGGAGCCCCTTGCGCATACTACTACCACTGACGGGCGCACCCGGTAGCCACGACCTGGTCTCAGGGAGCTCCAAGTCCATCCCCACCATCAGGGGCCCTGGTGAACAAGCACCCTGGGACTTAGACTCCGTGCGCTGGGGACGCCTATTCAGTGGAGTGCTAGTAGTACCGCCGGGCGGTCCCTTACAAGTCCACAGGACAGCTGCCACCTTCAAGTTGTTCCGGGCAAGGTCCAGTGAGGGAGACAATCCTTCTCCAGACCAGATCCCTATTGGTGAAGTCCTCCAGCCAGCTTCTCAGGAGATCCATTCAGGCCCTCAGCCCTGACACCACTGAGGCCAGAAGAACAGCTACACAGCCCATGGGCTGTCTTAGGGCAGCAGCCCCTCATGCATTGGAACTCTCCTGGGAAGACAGGCCCACCTCTGCTGGGTTTCAGTCTATCCAGCTCCCTTCTTGACTCTCCCTTCCAGTCATTGGCTGAAGTATGATAAATATTCAGGCTGGTTATTTGAATCTCCCTCCCTAAGCTCTGGAAGCTTCTTCTAGAGGCAGTGGGAGCAATCAAACTCCTAGCCTGTGAAACTCTGAACAGACCAGAATAAACAATCACTGCTCCTTGACTATAGAAGGAGACAAAAACTATATTTGCCTAGCATCCTACACAAGGAGGGTACTACACGTACAACAGGTCAAGGAAAAGATATATGTGCACATCCGTGGATATTTTTGCTTGTGTATAATTAACCTTTAGGACTCCATCATACCTTCTTTGCAAACCAAGCCTCAGCATCAGCTCGGTTCTTCTCAGCCAGAGCTTCATAGTTGGACCTCATATCATTTAGGACATTAGTGAGATCTATTCCTGGAGCAGCCTTCATTTGGACATCAACTTGGCCTGCGGAATTGATTCTTGCAGCATGCATTTCCTAAGACATTTTGTATAAAGCTCACATTAAAATGAATGTATTCTCATTAAAATGATCATTCTTGACGAAACAAAGCAAATAAAATTTGGGCTGTAGCCACTAGTGTTCAATCAGATTCTTATGTCTCACTTTCCCAATAAATTTTTTTTGTTGCCATGAGATAGTGAGTAGAAGTTCCAAAAAACTGAATGCTCTTTCTTTAGTAAAGAGGGGCATGGTTTCATATAGTACTGTTGTAATACTACCAGTCATGTTGATCAGTTCACTAGAAACCAGTATAACACAGGGTATGCCAGTTATAGTGAAGTTAAAGTGATTGTAAAGGCAAAATGTTTATATTTAAAATAACAAACATTGGTTTTGCACAGAGCAGCCCCGATAATCCTCTTTTTCGAGTCCCCTAATAGTGCTCCTGGCTCTTCCCCCCTGCCGAGTGCCCCCATAGTCACTTGCTATGGGGCACCCGTGCGTGCTCGCTCCCGAGCCCTGCTCTGTGTGTACATAAGAAACACAGAGCAGGCTTAGCCCCACTACCACTCCCTCCTCACTCCAATGTCTCCCACTGCTGTGTCTAAGCCAACAAGAGAGACTCAGGAGAGCCGTTGCTCTTGTGTACATTGCTGGATCGAGATCAGACTCAGGTATTTATAAGGTTGTAAAAAACCTTCAGGATTTAGAACCACTTTTATTAAAGTTAAAGTGGAACTCAACTTCCCCCACCCATGTTTTTTTACCCCTCTTACCTGTATTCCTGGGTTCTCTTCAAAACACATACTCACCTACACAGCAAATTCATCATTGTCCTATTGCAATCCAATGTTTAGGTGCCATACATAACGTAATGCCACCTTCGTCCTTTTCAGTTGGCTACATCTCCTGGGTAGAGGCATCCAGCCCCTGGCATGTCCACTGGCCACTTTGTTTGCCAATCCTGCACCTGGGAAAGGTGATGTAAGTATCCCAGAAAGCTGTAGAACCAGGTAAACATCATTCTGGTCTAGGCTGGAATGCCTGGGGAGGGGAAATTTGTGGGCAGCAGAGGCAAAAATAAAAATAAACAAAAACAATAGGTAGAAAAGAGATGTTAACAGTTTCCAGCAATTCTTCTTCTGGAGGGAGGGAGGGAATGTGAACATGGAATTGACTTCCTTTTTCTGCTTTAAGGAAAGTGGAACAATAGCACCATACCCATAAAATTATCTTCTTGGTATTGCTATCTTACCTTAAGGTACTGATGTTGGCATAGGTGATCTGATTCAGGGGCAGGTGACTTCTACATCCAAGAGGATCTTCACGATCTTCTTGGCTTGTATTGTAATGTGGCAAAGATGGAAATTGAAGCGCCACTCCAGTACCAATCATTTAATTCCAATAAAAGTCAGGAGGTAAGCGTAGCAAATGTGTTTTGTTTGTCCAGCACAACCCTCTTCATCAGAGCTTGGGATTGAAAACAATATAAATAGACTTGACGTGAACTGATATTTCTTCCTGTGATTATTTACCTGCCAAACTAGCTGCTGACAAGAGCTTAAAGGTCTAGTTAATTTCTAGTCCATTTCTATTATTTTAAATCTCAAGCCATGATCAAGGGGGAAAGTTTGGGAAGCCCATAACGAAATGAAAACTCTTTCAATTGTCCCCCTGACCTTTATTGGAATAAAGTGTTATCTACTCCTTTTGGTAGTGGTGTGGCACTTCAATTTACATTTTTGTTAAGTTATAGTAAATGGAAAGGCTTCACTGGATTAGCCACAGCAAAGCACTAAAGATTTATTAAAAACAACCTTTCAATCCATCCTGGATGTAACAAAACACTTCAGAACTCTGAATTCAATGGAAAGTGTATTGTTGGACTCTGGTAAAACCATGCTTTGTACATGGCAGCCAAGTAACTGCACACAATGTGATCCTCATAGTGGATATGGGCCCACCATGGCACATTTGGGCCTGTGCAGGAACCTCCACATAGTTCTGTGGGTTAAAATATAATCTTCGATGTGTGACATCAGTGCACTGTAAGTGTGACCCACAGCATTAAATCCTTCCTTTAAAAGGTTCTCTGGGGTTTGCTGACCCCATTGTCTACCCCGATTGTTTATATATATTAGTTTTTTTGGCAAGCATCTGTGTTGCTTACCTCTTCATGGTTCTTCTTGAGGTAGGCCAGCTCTTCAGAAAGACTGTCCACCTGGAGTTCAAGACCACTTCTGGACAGTGCCAGCTCATCCTGGACTTTGTAGAGGGTATTAACATCAGCTTCTACATTCTGGAAGATAGAGCGCTCAATCTCCTTTCTTACAAAAAAAAAAAGAAATATAATTTATTTGTAAAAGATCACATCTCAAACTATATACCACACAAATTTTTGATAGACTGTTTTTTTTTTTAAATAAGGCAATGCAATAAGCTATCATTTTACTGCACTTTACAAATTCCATTTTGTCTGAAGAATGATACATTAGAATAAGTTAATATTATTAATGCACAAAAAAAAGTTATTCAAGTTATTGAAGGAGTCAACAAATTGTACACAGTAGATGTACTGTGTTGCACTAATGTACAATTCTATCAGGAAATGTACTGCGTTGACAGGGGGAGAGAACAGGGAGAAGACCTAACCAGTCTTTTGCTACTCCTTCACTATTCAATCATAGGCTGTAAATGGGGAGGTGACCTATCTGTGTTGCTTAATTGTAGCAGAGAAATGTCAGCCGCCAGGTGTTGTTGTATAAATCTCATTATTGGATCAAGATAACCACAAATTAATTTGCCAACTCCAATATAGGTATTTCAATTCGTCTAGAGTTCAGCTTTAAAGTATAACTAACAGCAAAACATTTCTTAAATTTGGACAGAATAAAGATGGAATAGAACATCTATTAGGTTTTTATTGCTGTCTGTGCCCCGTTAGGGCGATTAATTCTTCACTCTAGTTGTGGTGGCCTGGGGGTCCCCAAGGATTTTCCTTAATTTGCAAGGATTTCCTCTCACTTCCTGTTTTAGCTATGGGGCAGGATGTGAAGCTAAATCTCTCCACTGGGATACAAAAGGTAAAAAATAAATTGACAGGGGTTATAACCCACCCTTACTCTATCCAAAATGAAAAAAAAAAAAAGTTTTGCCTATAGTTCTACTTTAATTAAAGTAAAACTATAAGCAAAACTTTTTTTTCATTTTGGATAGAGTAAGGGAGGGTTATAACCCCTAACAAATTTTTTTTCGCCAATTTGTGTCACATTGCTGAGATTTCCCTTCACTTCCTGTCCCATATCCAAAAACAGGAAGTGACAGGAAATCCCTGCAGAATAAAATAATTCCTTGGGCCCCCAAGGTCACCAGAACTAGTGTCCTCATTGAAAGATTCCCCCTATATTACTTTTCTGGGGACAACCCAAAATGTGGGATTTTCTTTTACTTTCACTTTCAATGATAATGGTAAACATGACAAATAGAGTGAATCTCCGTAACAGGGTCACAGACAGCAATAAAACTGACGTGTTCTAATCCATCTCCACTCTATCCAAAATGAAAAACAAAAAGTTTTGCCTTTAGTTATTTTTTAAGATTTTACTTTCCTTTGCATTATCTGGGCTTTTTGAACCCGGAATACTTTTTTGTTCCAAACTGAATAACGTGTAACAATAAAACTAGGACCTACTTTTTGCCTGAAGTCATCAATAGCCATTCTGGCATTATCAATTTGCAGTTCAACACGAGAGTTTTTTAATTTGGTAGCCTGGATCTGAAAAATGAAAAGCATTTATTTAATGCAATTCTATACTGTGATACATGGCTAAGCATATTAAAGGATCCTCTGTGTATAGAACAAAGCCACAAATAAATGAAAAAATGGGTGTACCTTTGAGAGGAAAAAAAAAAGAAAAATGTATATACTGTAGTGTAGGGTATATATATATACATTACTACATCACGACCTAATATCCAAGTACCACCCAGCACGCACACTCCGCTCCTCACAAGACCTCCTTCTCTCTAGTTCCCTGGTCTCCTCCTCCCATGCCCGCCTCCAGGACTTCTCCAGGGTGTCACCCATCCTCTGGAACTCCCTGCCCCAACCCATCAGATTATCACCTCCTCTCCTCTCCTTTAGGTGCACCCTGAAAACCCATCTCTTCAGGGAAGCCTTCCCCACCCCCTGCTAACTTGCCGACCTCCTCCACTCTTCCTACCACTCCATCCCCCACAGCTTTCTCCTCCTGTGCCACCATCCCCTCCCTCCTAGATTGTAAGCTCAAAAGACCAGGGCCCTCGATCCCCTCATGTTTTGCATTGTATTGGTATTGTTCTGTCACATGTTCTGTCCCCCTTTGTAATGTACAGCGCTGAGAGAACTATATTGGCGCTTTATAAATACTGTATAATAATAATGGTAATAATATATATATATATATATATATAAAATATATATATATATATATTTTTCCCTTTAAATATATAATTATACAATATATATATAATTTATTTCTTTTTAATATTTGTTACTAAATACATTGATGGTTGCTATGTGATGCTTCCTATCCTGTCATTATATAATACTAGTTATAATACATTTCAACTAGGTTTAATACAGGCCTGAAAAAGGATGACTATAATTGGTCTAAACCATTTGTGTTTTGATTATTTGCTCTAATAATCTCCTACTGAGTGCTGTAAAAGTTAATATATAGATGTGGATAATTCAAACTCTTGGCAATCCCCTAGCTGCCAGAACTTCAACTTGATTGTTCTGTTCACTTGTAAATCATCAAACATACATATTGCTTCCCAAATGCACCTTTGTGACATTTTCAATAGGAAAGCTCTCTGCAATCGTAAACTTTGGAAAAATATTCATATCATTTTTTGCAAGTCTGTTGATTTGAGAGACACGTTGGTTTGGTTTTATGCTTATATAAAAGTAGTTTTTTGGGGTGATTAGAAGTACATATAGTGCAAATATCTGCTACCTACCTTGTTCCTTAAGTCATCAATTGTATCAAAGTATCTGCTGTAATCAATGTCTGTAGTGCCAGCTCCAATGCCAGCTTGCTTCTCATGCCACTCACGGATCTTGATCTCCAGCTCTGTGTTGGCAGCTTCCAGGGCCCTGACTTTTTCTAGGTAGGCAGCCAGGCGGTCATTGAGGTTTTGCATGGTCTCTTTATCACTTCCAGCAAATCCGCCAAAGCTGCTGGATTGTGCTCCTCCGAAGGCAGCAGAAGAGCTGAAGGAAAAACCAGTGCTGGATCCACCACCAAAGCCTTCACCAAGGCCTCCATTAAAGCCTCCACTAAGATTTCCACCAAGGCTAGCTCCACGTCTGCTTTCACCAGAATAAGGATATGCAATGCCATAGAAAGCCATGGTGGATGTATTGGTGGGCTTGCTCAGGCTCAAAAAAAAAATGTGCAGAAAACAAAAAGTAAGAAAGCAAACTATGATGTTTGGCTTCTACACCAATACATATCTATATGTGTATACAAAGTGCAGTGGGTGGGGCACTTTTAACAGACTTTCTCTTCGAGATTTTCAGCCTGGTATATGAAAATATGTCACCTACTTTGACAGAATGAGTCTATCCTTACAGAAATGCTGCAGCCTTTGGGCTCTTCTTTAAACGTTGGCTATATATATTGGAGGAAACAAGCTCTTCTTTTCTTAGAATGTTGTTCTGCAGGCCTTCTCTCTCGCCTTACCTACGTGATCACAGCATTTAGATTACAATCTGCTTAAAGCTTCAGGCAATTGCAGAACTGCATAGAAGAGGTACGACTATTATTTTTAAGGCAATTCAGTTTTAGATAGAATTGAATAGACATCGACATATAAGGAGAAGGCTTGGAATGCTGTGGTCATTTGGTCCAGCTATAAGGTTTTCCAGTAGCAGCTGAAAAAGGTGAAAGCAAAAGGCAAATGAAGAACTTAGATACGTACTGTGAAAAAATGAGTTCATTCTTTCAGAAGTCATGCAGCTCTTTGGCACTTTGCTGTAAGTAACAGGCTCTAGGATTTGTCACTGTAGAACAGGAAAATCCAGATTGTTAGTGGTTATGTCTCAGTAGGACAAACATGAAGGGAATATGTTTGATAAATGTGGCCAACCTTCAGATGCTTGTGTGCAAAACACAATAATCCTTTGTCAACGAATAAACTTTAGCTTACATTGACTAGATTTAAATAACTAAATACAAGAACAAAATGCATTAGATTGCAGTGCACAGTTCATACATTGCTGGCTGCCTTTTTAGTTTTCTTTTTTATTCAAGTTAAGAACATTTTTCAGCAAATACAGGAAATACCTGTTTATCTTGCAATAAATTAAAGTAGGCATTAGGGTTAGAACTAACTATGCTTAAAATGGCTCCCACATACCTTCTAACTCCTATACTAACTACCCTGTAAAAGGGAGATGCTTATACCTACCTATTCTCAGATGGCTCTAGTCCAGCCATACAAATGAAGAACATTTTTTATATCTAGTCCAGCCATGTGATCTCCCTTGCGACCAGCATCAGGGGAGAGGAAAGAGCTCGAACAATGGATGGAATGCCTAGGGCAGTAACGTCACCCATTGACTTACCATAGGGCATCCATTGTTGGCACTCCCCTCAAGGGAGCTGATCATATGACTGGACTGGATCTAATTTCCTACAGAATTCTGGATAAAGGCTTACATTGGCAGCACTACTGTTCTCCCACAACTTAATGTAGACTAATTAGGTGGCAACATCTGTAGGTGGTTCTCCTGGCCTTATTCACAGGGTGCCCTACCATCTCCCATAAGCTCTCTTGATTAATTAAGTAGTATTTCTGTAGAGTTTTTCTCCCTAGAGGTAGAAGGAGGAGATGAGGCAGCCATCTTTAGCGTGATCAATAGAATATCACACTGGGTCTAATTTTAGACAGTAGTCAATTAACCCACCAGCATTGTTTTGGAGTTTACAACCCAAGCAAATCAATAGGCAGCCTCCCCCTAAATCTTTTTATACAGTTTTATAGTTGAAATTTAGGAAACTGCACAAACTTGCAAGGTACCCAGCTTTATCTGGTGTATCATGAGAACTGTGAACTAAATGGAATCAGAAACACAGTCTGAAGATTCTGTATTCTTGGTTTCTTCTGTCAGCTGTCACCTCCCTCACCAATGGCAATTAAATACTGCAGTGATGTGTGATAATAGTGCTGGATTGATAAAAGTGAAAATTGGTTCCGATGCTTTCTCCTTTAACCTCCCTAGAGGTCTGATTATGTCCATATTTCTGTGCTCAAAGCGGTACATTTTTTTTGCATGGAAATATGTATTTTTTTTATTGTAGGCCTGTAATTTTTAGGAATAACTCACTGAAATCTGTCTGAACAAGAGTCTAGTAAACATCTCGGGTATGTAAAAATTTGAAACACGAAATCATAAATTATAATTTAATAAATAATCATAAAAAATAATAATATAATAATAATACATTTAATTCAATAATATAAATCCAGGGGGGCGCATGTGCGGCCAGGGATGATGGCAGACGTGTTCTGCTGAGCTCCGCTCATCCCCGGCCAGGAGTGACTCACCCGCTTCACACTGCTGCTGATCTTCTGCCTCGGGTGAGTCACGTATCACCGAGCACCCGGCCCAGCACCAGGGAGAGGCTTCTATGGGGAAGATAGGGCGCTGGAAGCCCCCCTCCCCCCGCAGCCTCAGGACCCGCGGGGCCCTCGCCACTGCGGCGCTTCCTCTATAGGCCGCAATCCCCGGCCTCTAGTATAGACAGAGGTCCGAGGAACGATCCCGGACCTCTAGCGGCCGCGGAGGGTACTGCACCCTGCTGCCTAATTTCAGCACAGCTGCAAACCTCTGCTCCGATCCTTCCACAAATGGGGGATCACGACCCCCAATCGAAAGCAGGAGAGGCTATGGACAACCCTACTCCAGGGTATCTTCCTGCCCCTAGTCCTCAGCCGACAAAGTCGTCCCCTCCGCTCACAATCTCCGCGTTAGACGACAAGCTGCAAATTTTTCTACGACGAAAATATTACCGCTTCCATAGCCGCTGAAGTGGGAAAATTGGCTAATGAGCTCAGAGGGGAAATAGCCCAGTGTTATGATCCGCCAGGTGGTGCCTCAGGCTGCCAACTGACAGACCTACTCAGAGCGTGGGGTCTAAAGCCCGGGCTGTGCTTTCACCAGAGCCCCTGGTGGTGGGGATGGACTTGAAACAGTCCCGGGCCAGGTCACGACCTCCGAGCAGGCCCGCCAGTGGCTGAGGAGACCCTTGGGGACAGGTACCGGGAGAGCCAGATATGAAGAGGATGGTGGCCCCAGCAGGGTAGTAACGGATCGTGGGCCCGTGAGGGTAAGCGGGGTACAGAATCGGTAGGCGAGAGTAGTCGGGTCACACGCAGGGTCAGCAGGGAAGTCAATCCGTAGAATGGTCAGGGCAATCCCGGTCAAACGCAGGAGCAGGCAGAATAGTCAGGACAATCCGGGTCAAACGCAGGAGCAGGCAGAGTAGTCAGGACAATCCGGGTCAAACGCAGGAGCAGGCAGAATAGTCAGGGTCAATCAGGGTCACAAGATAGGTGCAGGAACTCAGGATCACAGAAGACCTTGCGGCAATCTGTGACAGTGCAGGGCATCTTTAAATAGTGCGCCCTGCACTGTCATTGGCCGGCTAGGACGCGCCCCCGGCTGTCATTGGACGCCTAAAGGCGCGCCCGCGGCTCCTACTGCGCATGCGCGCGGCGTCCTGTCAGCCGCGGCTCGCCGGGACCTAGTGCCCGTGTCCCGGCGCGATCCGCCGCTACTGCGCATGCGCGAGGGACGGAGCCGCGATCGCGGACCCTGGAGCCGTGGTCCCTGACACCCAGATTGGGGACCGCACGGATAAATTGGAAAGTAAGTTTGACGATTTGGTGCAATACGTTCACGTTTTTGGAGGAAGACAACGCCTATCTGAAACATTCCATTTCCCAAATGCAACTCCAGCAGGAGGACCTGGAAAACAGGGAACGGCGCCAAAATATCCGTATACGTGGTATGTCCGAATCCGTTGCTGATGCCCAATTGCACCGCCATCTACTGTCCTTTTTCATCGCTACTGCCCCCATGGTTCAAGAAGCAGATTGGCGGATGGATAGGGGCTCATCGCTCTCTGGGCCCTAAACTAATTGAGGGAACCAGTCCACGTGACGTTATAGTCCGCTTTCACTACTTCCAAAGTAAAGAAGCCTTACTTTCAGCAGCCCGCCACAAATCTTCCTTGGAGTTTAAAGGTGATAAACTCCAACTCTTCTGTGATCTTTCTCCGATTACTCTTGCTAAGCGGCGTGCTTTGAAGCCGATCACCACACATCTTCAGCATCATCGTGTCCTGTATCGTTGGGGGTTCCCCTTCAAGCTGGTGGTTGTTAGGGACAACACCCATGTTGTTCTCCGAGATCTTCAAGAGGCGGAATCTTTCCTTAAGCAGTTGGGACTCCCACCTCTACTGGATGATATGCCCTCATCGCCGCCTACTCCATCCCGTCCTTATGCCACCCCTTCCAAGATATGGACACCGGTCCGCGGAGGTCGAGGAGACCCACACGCATACCGCAACGTCCACGCCCTCCCCGATCAAGCGATCCTCCTGCCTGAGGATTTTCAGGGGTGACCTTTTGTGGCGAATCTGGTGCTGTTTTGTTCGGCCATGGCCTTGCTGGGTGCATTTTATTTTATTTTGTTTTTTGTTTCTTCTGGCCGGGTTTGACGTCCTCCCGGAAGTGTCGGATGTCGTGCTGCCCCCCGATACTGTCTAGCCACTGGCCTAGACGACTTGGGCTTAGTTGACGTTCCCAAGTTTATATCCTCGCGGATACCTGTTCTTCATTGTGTATTTTTTTCTGTTGTGTTTTTTGCATGTTTTATGTTTTCTGTTTTTTTTTTTTCTTTTTACTACATCGATGGTACTTCATCCATTTGTCATGCTAATACATGTGGCCCAGTCACTGTTATTTTATAATGGCTTTGAAGTTTCTGTCATATAATGTTAAGGGCCTCAACTCTATTCAAAAAAGATGGATGGCTTTGAAGGAATTTCGATCCTCAGGAGCAGACATCATTTTTGTCCAAGAGACCCATTTCAAATCTACAGGCTCCTTTCGTTTTGCCTCGAGATTTTTTTCCCCGAGCCTACTCGGCCTTTGACCCTTCTGGGAAAGCCGGGGTGGCAATTTTGATTGGGTCACATTGCTCCCTTCGGGTTGTTTCCTCCAAAGTTGACCGACAGGGTCGTTTCATTATTTTGGAGTGTATGTTTGGTGAGACTCCCCTAGTTCTGCTGAATTTATATGCCCCTAACACGGGTCAATTGCAGTTCCTATCCCAAACACTC